GGGCCCGGGGGGTGACTTCAAGGAGCCAGGCTCTCTGGAGATAGCGTCTGGACTTGCCTCATGGGGAGTTGAGGCACTGTGTACTAGGAAGAAGCCATATGTCTATGGGCTTGTGTATCTTTGATTTTCGTTGAGAGGAGCTTGCTTCTCACCATATTTAAAACCATATTCTAGATGGAAACAGAATACTTGTGCTCATTTGTGAAGATTCTCTAATTTCTTTCTCCCCATATAACATAAAATGTTATAGCTAGGCATAACTTCCTGATGGAATTCTGTAACTGTTTTCCATTTCATTTGAGTGGTCATAGTTCCTATGATACTTTGCCAAGAAGTAGGTTGCCAAGACCAATCGCACTTGTTGATGATATAACTCTAAAATTTATTTGAGTATGAACACTCAAAGAATAAATGAGGGTGGGATTCCAAACTCGCTCTGCAAAGCACACAAGTGGTACCAACGTTGGGGTGTAACTTTGAATCATGTCCTTAGTGGCCAGCCTGTTCTTTATAGCAAGCAAAGAATAAGCTAGTTCTAGGGATGCAGTGATTGAACAAGATAAGATGATACCATAGAATCTTTGGTTTATTGTTCATGATTTGATTCCAAGCTAAATAAGTAGAAAATTTACTATTACCTTGGTGGAACCACTTAATCTCATCCTTTAACTCAGTTGAAGGAACGTAATTTAACATAGATGCCTTAATTTCAACAAGAATTATGGAATTCCTTGGATTAACTTAAGGCCACCTCCATTAGTTACGTTGTATAATTTCAACAACCTTAGCATTCTTAGGGATCCTAGTGTCATAAATAACTCTATGTCCCCATTTAAGAAGGAGATGCCCATTGGGATGCCAATAATCATGCCAGAAAGATGTATTCCTCCCAGTCCCAATAATATGAAGGAGAAAAGGTCTTGCAATCTCCTTTACTTGTAGCAACTTCCTCCAATTCCATGAATAAACCTAGGGTGGATTGACCCTCCCAAATGCTTCTGCCTCTAAGGTGGTACTCTTTGGTCCAACTAGTCCAAAATGTTATTCTCATTAGTGATTAGATACCAGAGATGCTTAAGCATAGGCTTTGTTCTAATCCGTTAGGTCTTTCAATCCTAAACCCCCTTTCCTTTCTAGGTAAGTATACCTCAGACTAAGCTACTTTGGTCCCCTAGTTCTCATTTCAATGCTAGACCATAGAAATGATCTCAGTTTCTGGTCAATAGTAGAAAGAACTTTCTTTGAAAGCATAAGATGACTAACCCAGTAGACCTAAATGCTGCATAATATAGATTTGATAAGCGGAAGTCTCTCAATATATGACAAAGTTCTATTGGCCCAAGTATTGATCCTTGAATCCACTTTTTCAAGTAAGCTAGAGCAGTCCTGAATCTTAAGTTTTGTGGCAATAATAGGAATTCCCAATATTTCATAGGGAGACAGCCAATAAGAAAACCAAAGCACTGAACCATCAATTATTGGTGATCTTCCTGAACTCCTGAGAGAAAAATATTGCTTTTAGAAGGGTTGTCTCTTAAGCCAGACAACATTTGGAACTTGTCCAGAGCTCTTTTAAGAATTTCAGCTGATTTGGGATCCCTATGGCATAGCATGATAAGATCATCTGCAAAGCAAAGTTGGAAGATAGATTATTTTTACACCTCCAATGGTATTTAAACTGAGGCTCACATTGAATACCCTTTACAAGGATTCTTGACAGAACTTCCATAACAATAACAAATTGATAAGAAGATATAGGGTCTTCTTGTCTAAGTCCTCTACAACTTGTGAAGAACCCTACCAGTTCACCATTTATATGGATAGAGAATTTAGGAGTAGTAATGCATTTTTTGATCCATTTAATCATTATTCTGGGAAGATTAAAAGCAGCAAGGGCATCAAGCAAAAATTCCCAATCAACCATATCATAAGCCTTCATTAAGTCAACTTTGATAGCACATTTGGGGGAACCATCATTCTTATGATAGTTCCTAAGTAATTCCTGGCGAAAAGGATATTATACCCTATCTCCTACCCTTAATGAAAGTAGTTTGAGATGGATTGATCACATAGGGGAGCAGAGTTTTAAGCTTGTTTGCACTAGTTTTTGAAATTTACTTATAGAGGGTGTTTCAACATGAGATGGGCCTAAAATCATACATGCTTGTAGGATTAGATACTTTGGGAACAAGAGCAATAATAGTAGCATTTAATTCCTTGAGAATCTGATATGTAGTAAAGAACTCTTTAATGAAAGCAACAATATCTTCACCAATAATAGGTCATGCATGTTGGAAGATAACCCATTGAATCCATCAGGCCCTGAAGCTTTGTTTGAATTAAGAGATAGGCAACACCTTTGATTTCTTCACCAGTAACCTCATTACTAAGGAATTGAGCTTGCTCCATTGTAATGGGGTTTTGTAGAATATTTCTTAGAAAAGAAGTTCTATTAGGATCCTGAAGGCTTCTCCTACCCATGAGGTTTTGGGAAAAACTCACTACTTCATCTTTGATTTCCTTGTCACCTTCAGCAAAAAAATCATCTTGTCTTTGAATGGTAATTATTTTGGATATGTTCCTCCTACTTGAGATGGTTTTGAAGAAAAAAGAGGAGTTTTTGTCTCCAACTACTAACCACTAGGCTCTAGATTTCTGTCTCAAAAATTCTTCCTCAACCCTGAATGCTTCAGTGCATTTTTCAACTAGATCTTTCTCAATTAGTCTGAGTGACTGATCATTAGGATTAGTATCAAGATTCCTTTGGCAAGTAGAAAGTTGCTCTTTGGCCTCTATTGCCTTGATTGTAACATCCCCAACCTTTTCTTTGTTGACCTTTTTAACTCCATCTTCAAGGACTTTAACTTCTTGTTTACTTGGAATTGTTTTTTCGCCCTGATCTGAAACATTAGTGACAATGGAAAGAAAATCCTCCCTTTTAGTAATGAATTTGAAGAACTTGAAAAGGGCCCTTCTTAGGTCTAATATCTTTTCCCATTTTAACAACAATGGGACGGTGGTAAGAGATCCTAGTAGTTACGAATTCAGCAGCTGCAAATAGAAATTTAAGAAACCAATCCTCATTAACCATAGCTCTATCCAGATTCCTAATAGTCAGTCAAGTCCTCTATTGTTACACCAAGTAAACTATGTACCAGAGTATCTGAGATCTGTAATATCAACCATATTGATGGTACTTTCAAACTCATCCATGGCTAGGGTCCCCCTTGTCAAGCCACCAGATATCTTTTCTACTGATCTAACCAAAATTTCCAAGGATCATTGAATAAACTCGTAAAGATCCTCCAAAGTCTTCTCCTTTCTCTATCATTATTACAACCATACACCATAGTTAGCATAAATGAAGTCCTACTAGCTTGATGTGTGACCCTGGAATGAATAGCTTGATCCATTTCAACAAATTTTTGAATCCTAATGCTTTGGGGGTTCCAGCCAATCTACACCATTTCCAATGTGTGACTATCGTAGGTATCACACCAACATCAGTCCCTAATGATGGTTCTTCTAGCTCCTACCTTATTAACAGTTCTTACCTTGGTCTCTATTATCCCAACTAAATCAAGATGTTGCTCAAAAATCAATTTCCTAATCTCCAATTGTTTAGGGGTTGAGTTAAAATCCCTAATGTTCCCACATGGAAGATTTATCATTTAGGTTTGCGCAAGCTTTGAACCTGGGATTTAGGAACCCCAACTTTCCCTCGGTTAGGAGACTTTTGCTTTTATTTCTGTTTCAACCTTTTATTTGTACAAAATGAGATTCCATCAATATTCTTCACTTTGCTAGGTAAGAGATTTGTCTCGGGGGAAACTAATTTCTCAACATCATTTTCTGTGATCCCTTTCAATTCAACAGCTAAACTAGCAAACTTATTGCTAGTTTCAACTATTTCAGTAGCTTTACACATCAGTCTTCTCAATTGACTCAAAGCAATTTGCCCCACACACAAGCTCACATATGCCCTCACGTATAACCTCAGTTATATAATCCTATTTAAGTTATGCAACCATTAACTCATAATTAAAAAATCATATGTATAGGACCAATATGAATGTTTTATGAATATTAAAATTAATATAAAAATATTTTAATAATAATAGTTGAGTTACACATAAACTAGTTCGAATACTCATGACCATTAAGAAAAAAAAAGAAAGTATTATACAGGCAATAAATTACAGTCATAAATATGGATTGAAAATAGATAATAGAAAAAAAAAACAAATATTATGTGAACATTTTTTAAATCAAACGATAGGTGAGCTTTTACCAAAAATATCCTGTGCAATGTGAAAAATTTAATTTTTAAGGGTATGATGTGAGAAACTTAAAATCTTTTGGGCTATAAAGTGTAATTCTCTCTAAAATTTAAAAGCGCCTAAAAGGAGAATAAAAATAAAAAATAGAAAAATAAACTTTCGCGCCAAAATGGCAACTTGCTACTACGTTTCCCGCCATACCGATACATTGTTGTTTACTCGCTTCCCCGCCGAATCTCACTCTCTCTTTCTCTCTCTCACACACACACAAATACGCCAAAACGCACCAACTATCTGCATTCTGCAGAACCCCAACTACAGCCCCCCCAAGCAGAAGATGGCCATGGAATCAGCAAAGCTTATAAGCTCCAGAAAACGTAAACAACCGTTATCACAATCCAATCCCTTCTGCGGTGTATTCACTCGCAGCAAGTCTCACATATATCTCCACCGGAACCGATCGGGGCGAGCTCGGTCCGACACAGCCTACAAGTGCCACCATCTCCGTGAGGCCCCCCAATTGTTCGATGATAGGCCCCACAGTAGACCCAGAGCACTCAAACACCAAGAGCAGCAACCTTTTACTACCAAAGATCTTCGCGCTAGAAGGGTCTTCTCTCCTGCATCGTTTATCGATGATGAGTGTCGTGTGCAACCCTCCGATAGGACGAGTCTTAATCTGTCTTTGATGGAGGAAGATTATTGCTCTCTTAAGGATGGTATGCGATCAGAAAAGAATCAAGATAAAATGAAAGAATTGGAATTGAATGATATATTTCTTGAAACAAACAAAAAGGAAATGAAAGATGAGGAAAGTGAACTGGGTTTCTCTTGTATGGGTCAGGATTTGGACGATTTGAATTCTAGATTGGATTTCATTGTGGATCTTGTTTGTTCTTCTAAAGAAAAGTGTGTTGGTGGGTATTCAAGTGACGGAAAGTTGAGTGATATTGGAGGGATTGGGAATTTGACTGAAGAATGTATGCAGATCACACCACCAGAGGTGGAAGGAAATGGTAGCAAAAATGGTGAGATTTTGAATGAAAGTGGTCGAAGAGGCCAGAGCTCTGTGGCTGTGGGTATTCATGCCAATACTGAAAAGAGCAATGGTTCCATTTCTAAGAGTAAATTGGTAAGATATTACAATATGCAGTGGTTTCGGTTCCCATTGTTTACTTGAACGACAACATACAAACAAATGCTTATACACTTATCGCTGGTTTTTCATAGTAAGATTCTTGTGGGTATACGTGAGTTCGATTGGAAAGATATTAATTGATTTCTGCTAACTTAAAGTTGTCCTTTCTATTCTGTTGTAGGCTGTTAATTCATCTAGAAGAGGGAAGGTATTCAAATCTCCGAGCTCATTTAGCTATAGAAGATTGCTACCCTTCTTGACGAACATTGCTAATGATAATTCAAGTAACTTCTTGTTCTTTCCTACTTACTTTTTTGATAGCTAGTAATAGGCATGGAGATTATTCTGTTGATTTGGAGCTATAATGCTAGGAAATTAACTGTTGTAATATTAATTTTTTCTGATAGGTGTGCCAAAAATTGAGATAGTTGATGCAGGCTTTCCTTGCAAAGTTCAGAACATAAACCATATAAACCCCAAATTGCAATCAATTGGTGAAAATTACTGTGCAGTCAAAGAGGAGGACACTTGTGTGCATTCTAGTGTTAGAGAGCCACTAGAAAATGAATGGATTAAGAAATCCGATACCCTTTTGCCATGTGATAATCATGATTTGGTTACTATAGGGCCTAGAGATATTTATTTGGCTCAATCTGGGCAGAATATTAACGCCCAAGATGAGCAGAGAAGCCATGAAGATGATGTGCTTTCAAATAAAGCTGATGATTCAATTGAAGTATGTCTTCAGATGACACCACCAGATGCCGATATCTTCAGTAATCCCGAGGTGGATGATAGCAGGACATGTGAGGAAGGTAATGATTTGCAGGCCAAGGGTTCTATAATTGGGAAGCCATCAAATGGAAGTATTAGCAGAAATGATGGCAGTGCTTCTGAGAGTTGTGTCCGTGTCCTGAGAAATCACTCTGCTTTAAAGAATAAACTGGTAAGATCTGTTGATCTTTGGATGTTGCACTGTAGTTTATGAGAAGAAGAATTTGTTTTTACCTATTTTGTACTGAATGGTTTAAGGAGGCATGGTAGTTTGCAGTTGGACTCTATGAAATGCTTGGAACTGATGTTTTGGTAAAATATGTTACTTTGTGTTTCTTTATTAGGTTCTTAATCCATGTTCCCGACTGAAGGTATTCAGAACTCCAAGTTCAGTCAGCTACAGAAGATTGCTTCCATTTCTGATGGATATGGCGAAAGATGGTTCTTGTAAGAGCTTCCGCCTTTTTCTCTGCCCCTGTTAACTTACACAAAATATGAGACAGTATATTACGCACTTGATGGGGCCACAAACTTTTCAAGCTAACCTTCGTTATGATTTTTCTTGTAGGTACTCCAAAAACTAGACAATGCCCAAAATCTGAGAAGGGTTTAGAAGAAAATCCAAAATCACCTTTGATAATTTCTCCCCATCAAGAGACTCACATGAATAAATCTGGCACTGAAAGTTTTTGCAGGGAACACCATACTGCAGATAAAGAGGAGAATATGCAAACAGCTGCATTAACTTCAACTGATGACTGTTGTGATGATACTAATCTAAGTTTTCCTATTGCTGTGTTGACTTCCCCCAGTGGTTCACCTAATACTGATGAGCTAAATTTGGCATCATCTGCTGAGCCTCACATGCCATTAGATTCACGGGTGGAAGGGGCATCACCACTTGGAGAGGTTAAAACAGATAGCCCTGAAAAATTGGAAGGAGGATCTTCCCAGGATAATCTTGGTTATGGTTCTGGAGCAAATCTTTCAGCTGCGATGTTATGCTCCTTTGTAAATCTTGAAACTTTGCATGGAACAGTTGATGCAGAAGTCTCACCACATGACTCAATTAATACCAAGATGGGTCCCATTGGTATGTGGACAGATTGCCATAAAGATGATGGAAATCTAGTGAAAACAGTTAGCTTGAAACAGGTCACAAAGGATGACCCCAGGTTGGAACCAGAATGTTCCCATGATGTTGTTATTGATGGTCATGAAACAAATCATTCAGTTATGACATTATGTTCAGTTGTAAATCATGAAACTTTTAAGAGAAAATGCAATACAGAAATCTCACAAAATGGCCCAGTTAACACTGCAATAGAGCCCACAGCTATGCAGACAGATTGCACTGAAGACAATCGAAAACTGGTTAAAACAGTTGGCTTGAATCAAAACCCATTTCAAATTGAAGCTTCTGATCTTCCTACTGACATTACGAGAGGGATTCTTAAGAGAAATCGACAAGGATGTCGGGGACTCTGCAACTGTCTGAATTGTGCTTCATTTCGTCTGCATGCCGAGAAAGCATTTGAATTCTCAAGAAATCAGATGCAAGATGCTGAAGAAGTTGTTGTGGAGTTGATTAAGGAACTTGCATACCTTCGGAATGTTTTTGAAAAATCTGCTGCTGATGCAAGTAACTTTATGGTTGTCACCTTCAATCAGGTGAATAGTGCATAAACTGAAAATGCATGGTACTTTTTAAGATTGGTTTATAACTTCCTTTCTTAACTCTGCTTTAAATTTTGTGCATCAGTTACTCTACATTCTGTTTACTAATGCACTTCACCTTGTGGCATGCTCACTATGGGAGAATTTTAGAATTCTTGTTTTGATGTCCTCGCATATCGTGGTTGAAGGATAACTGCTAGCTTTAATTCTCCAAATATTGCTTGGACTCTGAAACTGGCTTAGAAGCATGATTTGAGTTAAAATGTATAGCTCCTTGTGAATGAATTTTATGTTCACTGTTAGTGGTTAAGGAGAATGGTGTTTGTCAATCAATCAAATAATGATGAAATCTGATGGCTTGGGAGATTATCTTAGAAATTGTAGCTGTTTGTCTCATCCTAGTTATATCCCATCTGTAGGAATGATTGCACACTGTTGTGTTATCAATGGTGATGCACATTGCTGGAGTTGGCCCATGCCTTCCCTTTTGTTGGTCGAGGATATTACTGACAGTTGGCCTGCATGGAGCAAGCCAATGTCATCGGTTTTTCTGCATCATGGGTGGCAGCTGACTTATGTTGTTCATGTGGACTTTTACCAGTTAGTGCTCAACCATCACAACCTCTGAATGTATTAGAGGCTCTGAATCAAAAAGTTAGAGGCTGTCACCCGTGTGCTTCTGAATGTATCCAAACTAGCTGATTAATATCCAATTTAAAATGGTGCTTCTGAATGTATCCAAAGAAGTAATTGGTAAATCTTGAAAAAGGAAGAAAAAAGACTTCACTTTTAAGTATCAGTGTCACCATTTTTTTTTCAGTGGCCTGAAGTTACCAGTTGCAGTTCTGATGGTAATGTGCGCTCTTCACTAGGCATTTGTATATTCTTAAGGTTTTAGATGAGCAAGTTTGTGCAGGGATACATATTATTACATAGATATATGATGCAGAAGTTTTGCTTGGACATTATGATTTCATATCTTCAAAACATCAAACCAAAAACCAGTTGACAATGAGTGGAGAGGACCTTAAGCATATAAACCAACATTGGGTAACGCCAATTTAGATGTAGGATACAAGTTTCCTTTACACCCCCACTCATGTGGGAACCGGGAATACCTTAAAAAAGAAAGGATAAATATGCATACTGGCATATATTTAAATGGGTAAGAGACTTGATCTCTTAACCACCCAAAGGTGCCGGACATTGCACATGCTTTTGTGCCATTTCCTCGGCATGACAATCTACCTCCTCAATGAATTGCAGGGTAGAAAGCTTTGAGGTGGTTACTTAGAGAGAGAGCATATAAATCAAAGTGCGATGCTAGTTAGTTTTTGATTGAGAAATACTAGGATATCAAAATGGAGCTTCTTCTACTTCACCAAGTATTTTTCATTCCCAGTCCTTCAGCCAACTAACATATCAAATTTTGGATGAAGATTTAACAATTGTAACAGAAGACAACTTCTAAGCCAGTTAACTATTTTTAGGGATTTGGTTAGGGATAGGGAAGGACAGTCAACAACACCTTAATTGCAAAGACCTTTTTGAATGTTGTGTCTGAAGCTTTTGGATGAGCCCCTAATGAATATCTACCAATGCAGTGTTATGAAAGTCGCGCCTAAAGCGGCTAAGCGAAGCGAGCTTCAGTAAGGCAAGATTAAATCGACCAAGGCGATAGCTTTGTTGCTTAATTGCATAGTGAAGGCAAGCGCTTTAGTCAAGTATTTTAAATTGCTTGAGCTGTTAGCTTGATCAATTGGATTAAAGTTTTGATATGCCCATAATTATAGTTGTTAATTCGTGTATCGGAAGACGTATCATTTTTTAAAAATAGTGTATCGTATCTTGTATTGTGTATCGTAAGATACGCATAATTTTAATTTTTAAATAATTATTAATAAAATATATATATATATATATATATATATTAATAAAATATATATATATAAATATGCCTTTGTAAAAAAGTCATAGACTCATAATAATATAACATTTCATTAATATTTCACTAACTATTCAAGTTTTCAACATAATTCAGTAATATCGAAATGTAAAGACCTTTAATTCAAACTTCTAACATCAACTGTTTGAACAACCTTAATATTAATTAAGAATTTTTAATTTAATTTAATAATATTAACAGCAGATTTTATTTTATTTTTAAACTATAACTACTGAAACGACGTCGTTTCACTAGCTAGTGATTTAAAAATAAGTTTTAAGGTAAAACAATGTCATTTTAGCTCCGAAAAACAAAAAATAAAAATTAAAAAAATAAAATCTTTATATATTGTACATATCGGACGTATTGTATCGTATTGTACGTAACGTGTATCATACGATATGGTGCAAAAACGATATAGAGACATGATACGTATCATTTTTCAGGTGTATCGTGTGATACTAATAACTATGCCCATAATAGTTGATTGTCCCTTATCCTTATATATATCTAACGATTAAACCCTAATCGACCCTGAATTTGCTCTGGAGACCAGAAGTTGCTGTGTCGTTATTTTGATAGGACGATGCTGAGGGATATGAATCTAAGGACAATAAAATTAAAGGAGGACAATACAGAGGCATATGAATCTAAGGATAATGAAGATTATTTGATTGGTGATGAGTATGATTTCTAAGTCTTCGAGATTTATGGAAGTATTAAGTTTATTTTCTTGAATTGTGTGTTTTATGTTTTCAAATATTAGGATTTGGGATACTATAAATGTTTTTTTTTTAAAAAAAATTTAATGTTTATGGTATGATTGTCGTTAAGTTTTGAGATTTTTAGTGTTTGTTTGAATTTAAATGTTTATGGTTTTAGTTGCATTTAAATATTTAATATTTTTGAAGTTAGAACTTGAATTTTTAAAAATAATTAAACTAAAATATTTACTTATTTTTTATACTGTTCGCTTCGTTTCGATAAATAGCTCGTTTTGTGCCTAGGCCTCGAGAGATTGATTTGTTTTAACCCTTAAATAATATTGTTCCAATGTAAAGTATAGTTCACAAAAAAAAAAAAAGGAAAAAAAAAAAGAAAAAACAAACTGTGTGTAATGTATATACATGGTTTAGCTATGCGAAGTACAGAAGCATTGCTGCACTAGATTTTTAAAGATGTTGTAATGACTAGACGTACCCTGCCTTAATGCCTTACCGTTGTGCTTTTTGCTTCTTCAAATATGTGGTACTTAAAAAATTTGCAATTGTTTAGTAAAAGAAAGCGAAGAAAAAAGAACTTGGCTTCTCCAAAGTCTGGTGTATCATCCTTTAAATTATGATTGAGAGTTACTACAAGGCGCAGGTTAATCATTTCGGGATCCGTGCAAAAGTATTACATAACTTGCTTTGTCATGCAATAGTTTCCTGTAATGCTAAAAAGAAAAAATGAGGTGGCCTTACTTCGTTCTTTACTTTTTTTTATGGGATTTGGTTTTGCATGTTATTAAGCATTGCACAAATGCATATGCCATTGTATCTTGGGCAGAAAAACTAACTGGCTACTTGAAAACATTGTAATATGTATGTTGATATTTCATCTACTCGATTCTTCCAACATTACTTTCATGTTGCACCATGTGACCAACATACATCCTGAGGGAAGCACTTCTATGCGAACAATAGGATCACATAATTTGTTTGCTCTGAACTGATCTAAATTAAGTTAACCTAAATAGGTAGACTAATATATGTTGCATTTTGGGTTTTACTCTGGTGTCTTTGTCGTTCTTTCCCTTTTTCTTGAAAAAAACAGTTATTTTATTATCAATATTGTCTCCAGAAAGAGGTAGAAGTTTCAGCTTTTCTTACATTGGTGGAATCTCATATCAAGAATAAAGCGTGCACTCAGATAAGTAAAAGAAACAAGAGATCTTTTCTTTTTCAGTAGCCGATCTAAAGTTTCATTGCCATTTAACTTCAGGTTAAAGAAGCATGTGGCAAAGCTTTGAAAACAGAACAACGGGCAAGAATGCGCCTTAGCCAAATGAATGACGAACTCAACGTTCACTGTAGACTAACAGTAAGTGTCATTGTACTCTCCAATGTCTTTAAAAGCTTTAGCACTATAAACAATGTTCTTCTTTTGTCTTAGCTTTTGTTCTGAGGTACTTTGGAATTGCTTTGTTGGACAGCGCTTACAGCGACCAAGGGTTACATTTGCCAGTAATGCTGAAAAAAAGTTTATCCAAGAGGCCGATTTGCCAAGCAGTCTGAGAAAATGATGAATCCTATGAACAATTATCAACTGTTTGTCTGCGCACAAGTTCTGTGCACACGTAAGGCTTTTCATGATGCAGAGGCAGATCTCATGGTTCCATGCAGAGCTGCATGGTTAGAAATCTTCCTTTTGTAGAGTGGCATCTTTGCTGCACATTTAGCTGTTCATAGAGTACGATGCATTTAGTGGAGCTTGAGTGTTTGATAGCAATATGAGGTCTCTCATTTAAAGCATTCTACTTGAAAAAGAATGAGATTATAGTTTAGACATTTGTGCCTCTAAAAAGACATAGTCCATGAAATTGCCTTTGTGTCCACCTATATCAATTTTTATTGGACATACTTTTTGAAGTTTTTACTGTCAGCTCTTGAACATGAATTTTCTTTTAATTTCTGCATAAGGACGGTTTGTGGAATTGTCATGTTTCTTTGAGTTTGAAATATATGAAATTTGAAAGAGAAATCTAATTGTAGTGGCAAGTGAAAATGACATACTGGATGAATTATCATGGGCAGCTCACAAAGATATCTTAGAGATGATAAAAAAATTCAGGGTAAGAAGATGACAATAGCTGTCAGTTGAAGAGGATCAATAGTTTTGATCTGGTGAATCAGATCAAATCAACTGATTTCTTTCACTAGAACATCTTTGGGTTTTTTTTTCTTCAAGAAAAGACAACTCCAGTGTATGTTTCACGATGTTCAATGCATAAAAATAATACTCGGCAAGTATGCAAATTTACTTTTGCCTGGAGCAAATGTGCAGGGAAGAATTTTGAAAGGAAGAAATAGTTTCAGTTCTAGATATACTTGGGATGACTTGGGTTGTGAGAATGAAGAAGCTTTCCAGCACAGCAGTTGACTTCAGCTAACTTTCTTCCAACCATGGCATGTATTCTTGTTAGAACCCACATGGTAGTTTAGAACATAACTAAATTAAGAAATGAGGGATGAGTAATTATAGAGAAGGGAACAAAAAGAAGAATGTAAAAGCCTACAAAGTATGTAATAACATAAACTTGGAAGAGTAACTATCTTTCCTTGAAATTGATAATAAAAGACATCAGGTTGGATGAGTGGAATTTTATTGCTGTCAAAAAGAAGGCAAGAACTAAATGATTTTATGAAGAGTGGAAACTTTTGTTTTTGCAGTGGCATTTCCTTGGCTAGCAGTAACCAAATGTTTATGGGAGATGGTTTTTCTTTTGTTGCTTGTTTGTTTGTTCTGTTAGGATCCAAGTTGGAAATGAAGAATTGATGGATTAGTTTTTCAGTAGGCATTCAAAAGAGTGTAAAACTTCAAGCATTTGGTCCAAGTTTAATTTTGTGGTAGGGGGAGACTATGCTTGTGCATGTCCCCGGAATTTGTGTGGTGAGCTTTATAAATGGACCACTTTTAGTGATTTATGCTAGAACTGGTGCCTGATCTAATATCTTGTGTGTCCAACTGCGAACAACATTTAGACTATTATTGGGATTTTTGCATGTACTGTGAAGATCTGTTTTGAGAAAGCTAGAGATATCAAATTGTGGATGGATCTGAGGAGTTCAAGCAGAGTATACAGGTTTAACATGAATAACCTAAAGCTAGCAATCGGTTTATGTGCTCTGTCAGGGGCAGTATTTACTTTGTCAAGCAAGTGATAAATATGGATTTCAAGCTGTATTTTTTACTGAGGCAGAATGGGGCTACCTGAGTTATAGCAAGTTTTACCCTTTATGTGCAAAGTATGAATGTGCTACTAAATTTACAACAGAAATGTTTAATCAGGCAAACAAATTTGTTTTCAGATAAAAAGTTCGTCATCTGTACAATGAATCTTCACAAGGAAAGCCCATCAGAAACATCTCTATGAAATAAAATAGTACAGAAGTTGTGCAACATGAGTGATGCTGATAGTCACTTGACTGGACAGGGTTTCTCTCTCTCTCTCACACGCTGAAAAACTTCTAATGCCCTGACATTTCTCTGAATAGATCTCAAAACGAAATTATAGGAAAAATAGATGGCTACAAGTTGAATTACCCAATACAAGACACTGATTATCTAGAAGGGAAAGAGTTTCTATCTTTCCTTGGAATAGATATGAAAACACAACAGGTTGGAAGATTGGAATTTTACTGCTGTACAAAAGAAGGCAAGGACTAGTGATGTTATATGAAGAGTATGACATTTTGTTATTGCAGAGGCATTCCCATGGCTAGCAGTGAATAGAGTATATGGGAGATGATTTTTTTTTTTTTTTTTTTTGGTTTGGTTCTGTTAGGATCCAAGTTGGAAATGAAGAATCTAGGCCAACTGCGTTCTATTTGAACCTGTGGATGAAACTTGGATGAAAATATAGGTTGACTCCTGTTTCTTACGCTTGGATTAGTTTTTTGGTATGAGTTCAAAAGAGTGCAGAACTTCAAGCATTTGGTGAAAGTTTAGGTTTGTGGTAGTGGAAGACCATAGTAGTGCATGTTCCCAGCTGTGTATGGATCTGGGAAGCTCATGCAAAGCACACAGGGCAGGTTTAACATGGATCACCAAAAGCCAGTATTGTCTTTGTTAAACATCTGACAAATGTGGATTTGAAGCTGTATGAAGGAGGCAGAAGGTGCTACCACCTGAGTTATAGCAAGATATGCCCTGTATGTGGCAGCCAGAATATGCTACTTTGATTTGAGTTTATGACAGGAAATGTTCAATCGGCAAACTAATTTGTTTTCCGATAGGAAGTTCATCATCTGTACAATGAATCTTTGGAAGGGAAACCCTTAGAAACATCTTTAAGGAGTAAAATAGTATTGAATAAGCTGCACAATATGACTGATTGCGAAATACGAGTGCTGCTGTTAGTCAATTAACTGGACATGGCAAGGTCTCTCTCTCTCTCTAAAGCTGAAAAACTTCTGATAACCTGATATTTCTCTGAAGTGATCTCTAGGGGAATAATTGAAAGTACAAGAAAAGAAATGGATTGCCACAGTCTGGAATTATACAATACAATGCAATATTTATTATTTGATACGAAAAAACATTGCCAGCTTCCTACGTAGGATGGAGTAGATTCAGTGCTTCTGGATTACTAGCAAGATACAAAGAATTAAACTTATTTGACATTGTACGTAAACCAAGCGAAACTTTAAAGAACAATCAACGAATTTTCACCACAGATTATCGTAGAAACTCCATTCACATTTTACCATTAAGACTTGATCATGTCTTCTAGAGAAACCTTGATCGTCTACACTCGAGAGGAACGCCTTGAGAGAATCGTTTGTAATCCGTGCAGTAATTGTAAATCATGAAATTCTTCTGAACCCATCTCAGACGTCTTCGGCTATATGCATCAAGCTCTTGGTTCTGCCATGTCCCACCTGAGGACTTGGGAGTGCTAGAAGTGCAAGAGCCAATGCATGTCTGGGCCTTGAAGTTCCGGTAGTATGCTGTAAAGGGTGCCTTTGTCCAATCAGTTTTGACCAACCCGCCTCTCGTGGCCCAATCGTCAGCATTCCAAAGGCTAGAGTAAATCCTCATTGGTTGGTTTTTAGGGAATGGAACACCAATTGATTCACCATTCTTGAATACTCTTATGGGAGTGTTGTCCACCAAGAAACTGAAAGAGAAGCAAGAACCTATTAGAGGCTATTAACTATTAATGCACAGTAACTGGCTCAATCGAACTTCCCTCTAAATTGGTTTCTTCTGGGAAATGCATTTATTAGGTAGATGCCAAATTATCCCTCCTAAACAGTCCCCTCGCCGGGGGGGGGGGGGGGGGGGGGGGG